ACTCGTGATTAGAAAGGTAAAGACTCATATCTATCGATCTATATTTGCTATTTACCTAAGTGTTTTGACCGAATTCGAGGTGTCTCGGTAATTTTTGAGTTGCTTGTTGTGAAGTGTAGTTGCACTTGGACGATTTTGTTACGCGAGTGAGCAACCGGATTGTGGTTGTCCTCGTTATTTTTGTTCTTGCGAGTGAGGAGCCGACTTGTGGCTACCCCCTACGCTCTTGAAAGCCGCTTTGGTTGTATGACTTTACGTTTTGATCAATATAAATTTATTTAACGATAAAAACACAATAAAATAAATAAATAACAAAAGCAAAACAACCAAGCCAAACAAGAACAACCTAAAGTACAAAAACCAAGCAAACTAAAAAGGTTAAAACAGAAACACACTAAAACAAAAAATTAAATACAACTAAAAAATTCCGTCCAACATTGATAGCTTTACTCACTATTGAGACTTCAGTTCTCCAATAGTGGTGAAAAAGCCATTGATTTCTTGCATTCCAAGCCCACTAGAAAATATAAGAGGTGAGTTCCAGTCGAGCTTCTGAAGTTGCTGACATGTTTAGAGTACTAAGTTGAGTTCATGACCGCGCGTCGCGACGCGGCAAATTATAAATTTAAATTTTTTCTCAACTAACCTCTACTAACTAGTAGTAGCGGCGAGTACGGGTCGATCCCACGAGGAGTAGGAACTAAGTCGTGACAATTTTCGTATCAATTGTACTAAACTAAGAAAGCAAATAAAGATGGGGGGATTGATTTTATAAAAATAAAAATAAATAAATAAATAAAAAAATCAAATCAAATAACAGAAGTCCAGTTTTCGGTTCAGTTATCACCCAATCTAAATCTACTGTTAATCAATTTCGACGCTTTCTTTAAATTGCTAATGAATTACCGACCCTAGCTAACAACAAGCTCTGTTAACCGAATTTTCCCTTACAGAATATTTAATCGAAATAAGCTCTTCGATTAAACCTAACTAGCGGACAACCTAGAATAAGCTCTCTAGATTTAATGCACTAGAAGCATTAATTACTAGGAAAAAAGATCAGTCTAAGCAATGGACGCATAAGCTCGGACCATTTAACTTATGTTCACGCTACCCTAAGGATGCACGACCCCTAGTTTACTACTAACGAAACAAGACAATAACAATTACGGATTAAAGTCTTGTATCTAGCAGTTAAACTATGAATATTTAACGTAGTTGGCCAGACTAAATCAAACACCATAATTCATAAATATTAAACACAGATAACATGAATCAACTCATCAACAAAAATAAATACGGCGTCTAGATTAATCAACGATAAACAAAGATCCTTCAATTCATAGACAAATCGAAGTTAGGGTTCAAACATCCCCTAAAACTGGATAAAAATATTAACCTAACATACTAGTAAAAATAAATACTAAATAAAAGATAACTGAGAGAAGATAAAAATATTTCCCTCGTGTACGGATGCGGCTTCCCTCCGCGTGTGATATTTTCTTCTTCTGTGCGTTCTTCTTTCCTTCCCGCTGCTCGTGCGGCTCTGTTCTTTTCTTTTTCTGCTCCCCCTCGCGTCTGTCAGTCCCCCAGCAAATAAGTCCACAAAACAATGTCCCAGTCTCCCAAGAAATTTGAACTCTTCGATTAATCTCTTGCCAAAAAGAAATTCCCTCAGTTGTCTTTCCAAACAATTAATTACCCCCAACAAAAATCCTGGCTGCTTTTCTTTTTGTAAATGTCCTAAACTTGGGTTGAGATTTTGGGCCCAGAGTGGGTTAATAATCAACGTTGGGCCTGGACTTTTATTGAAATTCAAGCTGATATCGGCGGAGGCGATAATTGATCACGTGAACTTCCGTCTCATGCTTTGCGTCCATAAAATACTCTAATGAGCTGAAAATAAATACAAAAATGTCAATGTGTATGTATCCATCCAAATAATAAATAAGCCAAAAAAATATAAATGTGCGAATAAATTGTGTGTATAAAAATGCACTATTAAATATATAAAACGCGCACAATTTTCGACCTATCAGTCCACCAATCTTTGAATGTTCTTGCCTGAAGCTCCTTTCCATGCCAGCTAAGAGGGGAGAGCTTGCAAATCATTTTTTCCTCTTGGGCAGTGAAAGAAAAGGCATTCTTAAGTTTCAGTTTTCTTTTCCACAGGCCTTGCAAACTGAGTCAATGTCTAATCTTTTTTGCTGAAGTTGCAACTGACAGGTGTAGCAAAGTGCCGGCTCCAGGGGGAGGCACCTTAGGCCCATGCCTAGGGCCTCCCATTATTAAGAGCCTCAAATTTTTCTTTTTTTTAGGAGTTTTTTCAATCCAATACCTAAAAGATAGGTTAACTATCAAATAGGGGGTTAAATTTTTTTTTTCTCAATTTGCGATCTAAATCTTGTAAAACTATCAATATTAGTCTTAAAATTAATATAATATATAACACCGCTAATTTGAGGGGAAAAAAAAAAAACTAGATTCAGATTTA